ATAATGTGTTCTTAATTAAAAGCAAGTTATCAGGGCTGTTTCTCCAGAGTCAGCTATACCAATAGGTTACAAACACGCTACAGTGATAAACCGTCCCACTGAAACTCATGTCCTCTATGCAGAATTAAGTGCATCCAACTAACTTCCTCCCGGGTCCCACACGTGCTCTGCAGTGCACCTGTTTGTTAGGTGGTAGCTTCAGCCTCCTTCCTCTCCATTTTCTCTTCCTCTGGAGCCCCTGTCATCCAGTGAGTACATGGATGTACAAATCACTGTGGTCACCGCTGTGGCTGCATGGAGAGCTAGCTCACGATGTTGCCTTCCGAGACCTGGTCTGAGTGTTTGTATCTGAGAGAGAATGTCGGGCAGAAGTGCATGCATGCAGCCGGGATGTGCTGAGTGTGCTGAGCCAAGTGGAGGCTGTCCATGCTGCTTGGGGGCCGGGTGCACCCACTTCAGAAGAGGCTGGGGTGAAGCCCAGTGTCCCCATCTGAAGGGCTGGCTGGAACTGGGAAAGCATTCTAGGCATAGTGCCTATGACGCACCAAGTTGTGAAATGGCCTTTGGGGAGGGATCTATAGCCTGGCCTGTTTGCCATGTCTGATACAGGAGATGAAGGAGTGAGCAAGTCTGTCTTCAGTAAGGGAAGTGCCTTACTTTGAAAATAATTGTTTATGTTGCGCCCGGGTCCCTCATCTCGCTTCACTTGGCTGTAAGCTACACGAGCCACACAGACTGAGTCTGTTCTCTGCTGTGTGCCCTCCCCTTAACACTTAGTCTGTTTCTTTTTAATTATCTATTACCTTTTAGTCACCTGAGGATTTTATAGTGGGCCTTTTTTCACGAATTTGCTGAGGATCCTAAAAACAGTATTTTTGAAAAACATTGTTTTCAGACAGTGTTTTCTGATTACATTCCCCCTCGCCCACTCCTCACAGATCCTCTCCACCACTCAACTCCTCGCCCCCTTTCTCTCTTTAAAAAAAACCAACAAAAATAAGAAACACACAGACAGACACGGGAAAAAATAAAGAAGGCAAAAACCAAAACATGCATGCAAAAGGCTAATAGTGGTAGCAGATGCCTTTTAACCCCGACACTTAGGAGACAGTGACAGGAGTATCTCCTGAGTTCGAAACCAGCCTCGTCTAAACAGAGTTCCAAAACAGCCAGGACTAGATAGAGAGATCCTGTCTCAAGACAAAATACACAATCACAAGATCAGTAAGACAAGAAAACAAAAAACAAAACGTTCCAACAAAGCACTTTGAAACAAAAAAATACCATTGAGTTCATTTTGTGTTGACCACCTACTGCTGAGCAGTGGGGTCTACCGTGAGGTGTGGTTCATTTATACAGTGAGACTCCACTGGAGAAAGCTAAGTTTTCCTTGGCTTGGGGACGTCAGTTGCACAGACCTTCTTGGTTAGAAGTGGGAGCCAGTGTCCACTTCCTCCCTCAGCAGTGGGAGCCCATCTGGCTTGAACATGTGCAGACCCTGTGCATGCTGCTGTAGTCTCTGAATCTAAATAAATGATTTTTTTTAAAAAAAGTTATCTATGTTACCCTTTAAAAAAATGTTTGGAGTTGGGTGTTTAAGCCAGAGGACAGCTTTCAGGAGTTGGTTCCCTTCCTCCACAGTGCAGATCCCAGAGCTGGAAGTCCAGCGGTCAGGCTTGGCAGCAAGCAGCTTCACCCGCTGGGACATCTTGTCAGTGCACCGTTACCCTTAGAAGCAAACTAAACAGGAAATAGATGCTGAGAATTGTCGAAGAGGAGCAGGAGATGAGCTAAAGCAGTTCGGAGATGAAGTGTTGACCATCGCGATATGTCGTTTGCTCACGAGCCTCCTGGATCCGAGTGTGCTCTCCCTGGTCCCAGCTGTGTACACGTTGACACTGAAAGAACTGCCTTAGGGCGGTACGGCAGCCTCGAGATCACCAGTAGGGCTTCGCCTGTCTTGGCATACTTGAGAGAAGCCGAATGAACACAGCATGTCAGTTCGGAGAGTTAAATACCGGCTGTACTGCTTTGGTCTGCAGCTAAGACCAGGCCAGCACTGGACTGAGGTGTTGTGGAAAAGGGAGGGCAGGGATTCCACTCCTGACAGACAGCAGCCTTCAAGGCTGAGGGACTCAACAAAAAGCTGCTCCCAGACTGGCAACCCGTTGGTTTTTAGGACACTCTGCACTGTGGCCTCTTCCCACCCCCATTTATCCACAGAGCAGAGAATAAAAAGGTTACTTACTTTGTAAAGAATTTCATCATGTCCACTGTACTCTCCGTCACCTTATCACAGTTATCAAGGCCAAAGTCGGTATATAGAAACATGAGGCCTCCTTTGTGAGGTGCTAGGCGTTTTTTTTGGGGGGGGGGCTGACCTCACACTGGTCCAGCCAAACACTTGAAGCTGGGTTGTAGGGTGCTTGTGTTTGATGTTTATTTGGCTGTGGACAGTAGATCTTCATGTGGAGAACCATGTTTCAAACACTCATCGACTGCCATGGCCACATAAATATGAGGGCCTTTCTTTGTCCTTAGCTAGGGACAAAGCCCTATATTTTCAGAATAAATGAAAAATACTAGTACTTGGGAGTGACCAGTGTAGGAATGTGTGTGTGTGTATATATATATATATATATATATATATATATATATATATATATATGTATATATGTATATACTCCCAAACTGTACTTCCTGTCATACCCTTTCCAGGATCATGCATCAGTTTCTCAGTAAGGTGCCCCTTAACCACCGTTTAAATGCCCCACCCCCAGCTCACGCTCTCCTCCTCCTCTCTACACGACACTTAACATCATCCAGTGTGTGTGCTGGTTTTCTCAAGTGTTCATTGTCTCTTCCTAGAATGTCCCTCCTCCCAGAGCAGGGGTTGTCTTCGGCATGTGTCTCTAGAACTGTGCCTGGCCTATTTACATGCCCACCATTCCAAGAGTGAGTGCAGCTGGCTCTCTAACCCCGTGTCTTGATAAGGATTTAGAACTTAGGTATTGTGTGTGTGTGTGTGTGGGGGGGTGTCTCTCCACCAGTTTGTTCTTAATCCCCTCACTTACGAGAACTGAAACGTGAACGTGAGGGGAACATCTTTTAAAAATTAACCACAGCCGTGAACCCTTTAAAACACCAGGCATCCAGTTAAGAAATGACAATTACTTGTCGATTTGTGTGAGGCAAGTGGGAGGAGAGCACAGTGGTCCATGGCACTGGTCCTGTGTGCCCTGGGCATGGGAGGAAGGCAGCAGCAAGGCCGTCTCCAGTCCTCACACTTCTCACTGCCTCACTTGTGGTGGCACCCTGAAGCTAACGCGGACTTTTGAATGTGTTTCCCAGCATTGTACCCGCGGAGGACTTCCTTGGCCAAAAGTGTGTTTTCCTTTTTGTTGATGGTGTTTCTTAGTAACCTCTGCCAGAGAGGCCTTGCTGCAGAATTGCTCCTCAGTCATCTTGAACTTTGTGCTCTTTCTCCTTTAATAGCTTCAGGTTTATTTTGGCCACAGAAGCATAGGAAACGGCAACAACAATTGAGACAAGAATATAGACAGAGCCCATCTGGTTCCTGGTTCTCTTGGAGTAAGGGGCAGCCCAGGGAGGTCCGCACGTGGCCGTGAAGCCATGCGGTCTGGCCGGCAGACCTTCCCTGTGGGGGTGATGGTACCTTGGGTTCTAATAGTCCTGGGCTATCAATCATTCAAGAACAGATCGACTGAGCCCCTGTAGTCACCTGGACCAATTAAATGAGCAGGTCCAGCACAGGGACCTTGTGGTTTAGTGAGAGAAGGTTAAAGAGTCAGAACTGCAGAGGAGGGGGGCAGGACCAGAGCAGGCCAAGTGTCTATCAGAACATCCAGGGTAAGAGTGAGTATGGTTGAACCCCGTCTGATGTATGTTTTATGGTGGTTCCTCAAGACGCATCTTGGGTGAAAGACTGGAAGGGAATAAGAGCTAGAGGTGTGTTCTTGTTCGTCCTGGGGAAGGGCAGTGAAGGAGGGCCTGGGCTGGAGGGGCAGAGAAGGACTCTCACTGGTGGTGGCTCCAGCAGGGTTCATCAGACAAATCAGTCCATGGATGGGTGGTCCTCTCCAAACTGCCAGAAGATGCTGGAGTCAAGGGTTCAGGGGCTCTCAGGATGCACTTGTGTGCTGGCAGGACAGGAACTATTGATGAAACTAGGCGGAGCTGCTGGGTTTTTGACAGTTATGTTTTCCATTACAAAAGAATGCTGGGTATTAGGACCTTATTAGTCTGTTAGGGGCATTCCACCACAGCTGAGGGGCTAAGAGAGTGAGAGACCCTGAGGAAGGCCTCAAACTCCAGGATAAATGTCACTTGAACCTTGCCTTAACAGTAACCCTCCTTTTTGAGACCTTTCCCATTATATTGTGTTGAACCTTTAGGTAGTTCTTAAAGCTACATCTATGGATTGGTCTTCTCTCTAGAGCTGCAGTTACTTCATAGGGTAAGGTGAGCAGTTAGATGGTCACCTACAAATAAATGGTCTTCAGAGGGAGGGTGACTTGGAAAAGGGGCTGGCAAAACAGTTTAACCATGAAGGTGCTTGCCTCCAAGCATGATGACCTGAGTTCAATCCCCAAGACCCACTTGGTTGGTGGAAGGAGAGGACCAGCTGCTACAAGTGTCCTCTGACCTCCACTGGTGCATTGTGGTACACAGGCCTCACACCTCGATACTACAAAATGTGATCATAGCCAATGGAAGAATCCAGAGTGAGGGGAGCCTCGGCTAAACTGAATTCGTGGTGTTACGTGGTTGTCTTTGAAGCCATGGGATACTTGTTTTTCAAGTCCTTATTACTATTGAATGGAGAGATGATTTTTTTCAAATGGGTCTTTTTTTAAATGAACGCAATAAAATTAGCCTGAAATGATGGATTAAGGTTCTCCTGAGTTTGGAAACATGATTGAAAATGTGGATGCGTCTTTGCAAGCACTTGCTAACAATCCTGTCCTCATCTTTTGCAGGGGGAAAAACTGCAGCAACCTAATGGCCCTTCTAATGGAACACATTAAACCACCAAACACGTAAGTGAAATTAGCTGTGTGTATATTTATTACGTTAATGTTTATAAGTGCTTAGAATAGTATCTGACACAGGAAACCGTGTGTGTTTGCCCTTTTCTAAGTTATTGTCGGTATACCTAAGCTCCAAATGAACTAGTCGCAAACATAGAAAACTCCACACAAAGCCATACCTTTTGTTCCAAGGGTGAATGAGCAGCCTTGGTAAGTCCAGAAATGGCCTTAGTGGAAAGAAAGAAACTATCTTGGTATACCAATTTATTTTTGCTTTCAAGCACCCATTCATAAAAGCTTCGAATGTGAAATTGGTTTCAGTTTTGAAACTAAAGAGTTTCTTTGAAATTTTGTTGATACTTTAATAATAATAATTTTAAGTAATAGTAATTATTATGACTTCAAAACTTGTGAAGACAGAGCCTCAGGTAGCGCAGGCCACTCTCAAAAGTCCTGATCCTTTTGCCTCTGCCTCCTAAGTGCTGGGGTGACAGGCACCTCCCTGCTCAGCCTTGAAATAAAGTTTGTGCTGAGGCAGGGGACACGGGCATCAGAGGACAAGTTTGTTCTCTCTTTCTACCACGAAATGAGTTCCAGGGATTGACCCCAGATCATCAGACTCAGTGGCAAGCACCTTTGCTTACTGGGCCATCTAGCCAGGACCCTAAGAGTTTTATCATTTGGGAAAACGAAAAATAGTTTTATTTAAGGTGGCCACTAAGGTGACTTAGGGATTGGCATTCATGACACATAAAGATGACATTAAAAACAGCACCCCAGCCGGGCGGTGGTGGCGCACGCCTTTAATCCCAGCACTCGGGAGGCAGAACCAGGCGGATCTCTGTGAGTTCGAGGCCAGCCTGGTCTACAGAGCGAGATCCAGGAAAGGCGCAAAGCTACACAGAGAAACCCTGTCTCGAAAAACCAAAAAAAAAAAAAAAAAAAACAGCACCCCGTGTTCTGGGAGCAGCAGATAACTTGGATGAAAAATTCCCAATTGTTGAACGTCCAACTTTGTGGTACCACGAAGGCTTTGACACCGAGCCAGTGGTGATGATAAAGAGATACACGTGTGCCTGTGGATGTAGGGAGCACAGCCCTTCCTCCTCAATTCACCTGTGTCTCTTCGGTTCTGCACATGTATTCGGATTCTGTCTCCTCGTGTGGCGATGCTCTGGACTTTATTCCCCTCCTTTTCAACTTCTCTCTCTTCTTGGTTCCTCTCCTTCAATACGTCAGCATCCCTGTCTCAGGGTCAGGGACCAGTCTGGTAGACTTTCCTCTAGATGGTCTTCATGATGTGTCTTCCTTCCCTCTGATGTGGCGTGGTAAGTTACCTGCCTTATCCTAAATACAGTGCCACTTGGTGTTTGCTGTGGTTCCCTGCTTGGGTTTTGGGGTGTAATACTACCTGTGTGGTTGCTCTTTGGGGAGGTGCTAGCATGGCCATCACCAGCACACCAGGTGTACTGAGTATGTCAGCGACACTCAGACCCACAGGAGGAAATACCGGTTAGCACTGCATGCATTTATACCTGTCACAATTTCCTAATTGTTTTTTGTTGTTTGGAGACCAGGTCTCTCTACATAGCCCTGACTATTCTGGAACGCAACTGTGTAGAACAGGCTGGCCTCAAACTCACAAGAGATCTGCCTGCCTCTGTCTCCCCAGTGCTGGGATTAAAGGCGTGTGCCACCACACCTGGCCCACTAGTCTGTTTTATGTTAACACTTGCTATTTCTTTTCATGTGGATCATGACTTCCAGGGTATTGACCTCTCGTAGACCTGAGGCTTTTGTCCTGTGACAGCGGCCCGTGGGTCTTTGCCCTTGAGTTCTGTTCCGTGCACTGCTGTTTCTTTGTCTCTAAAACGCTGCAGACTTGCCTTAATTTAATTTTAAATTATTTATGTAATGTGTACAAGTGTTTGCCTGAGTGTGTGTGTGTGTGTGTGTGTGTGTGTGTGTGTGTGTGTGTGTACACTGTGCATGTGCCTTCCCCTCAGAGGCCAAAGAGCATCAGATGCTGTGAAACTAGAGTTGACAAATGAGTCTAAGCAGCCATGGGGATGCTGAGATCCGAACCTGGGTCTTCAGCTACTTAAGTCTTTGCAGCAGACTCTCCCCTTGTTGTAACTGACCGCTCTTGCTTTCTGTTGGCCATCCCCTGCTCAGCTGTCTGTCTGAGCTTTGACATTACTTTCCTTACAAAGAGCCATCTTGCCATTTTGAAAGACACATCCTTTTGTGCCGTTAGATCTCACTATTAAGCAGGACGTAGAAGGTAAGCTAGTCAGTAAAGTGCTTCTCATCACTAAGGACCTGAATTTGCATCCAGCCCCATGGAGAAGGCCAGGCATGTCAGCATGTATCTGTAATCAGTCACCAGCTCTGTGGGGCAGAGACAGGAGAATCCCTGGAGCTCACTGGCCAGCTAGTCTTGCCAAATCGGTTGAGCAAAGTTCAGTAAGAGATTCTGTCTCCTAGATGGATGGATGGAAGGATGGATAGGTGGATAATAAAGGCCACGGGTAGTAGAAAGACACCTGATAAACAAACAAATAAATAAATGGCCATGAATAAAGGCCATGGGTAGTAGAAAGACACCGATAAATAAATACATAAAAGGCCATGGATGATAGAAAGACACCTGACAGTGACCTCTGATCTCTACCTCCATGTACACATGCACATGAATGCGTTTGCCCCCACACAAAGATCTTGCTATGAAATAATTTTAAGAAAATACTACTTCTGCATTAATTGTCATAATTTTTATATTGAAATGTACAGTTTCTCAGAAACATAACCGTTGCGGTGCTCTGATCTCAAAACCACCTCCCTACCCCAGTAAGTGGTAAGGTCCACGGTGGTAGAGTTAGAATAATGGTGGCTCTTCCTTAACTGGTCCTTTTCTTGGTTAGTGTCAAGTGCTCCAGAGAGACACCTGCTGGCCAAAATGTAGTATTGCGTTGCTGTTCTCTTCTGGAAATTATCATAGGACCTTAAGCTTTCATAGCATGTGGATATGTTTTATAGTAGAATGTACTGAAGCTTCCTGCCTCAGCCCCTCAAACATACTTGCCATTTACAGATGACATCTGATGAACTAAGTATTCCGACCTGAGAATTTGGTTCAAGGAGTAGAGATGTAATGGAGAAGAGGATTTCATGATAAAACCCCAGTCCTGTCCTTCCTCATGTTCAGGGGCTACAAAACAATCATGTAGAAGTTATTTCTCAGACCTGGGTCATTTCAAAGATTTTGAAAGGGGCACCTCACTTCTCCAAGAGAAGTTAGAGCTTGCTTTTTCGATGGCTTAGTTTTATTACATTAGAGGTGCATTTGTTCCTATTTACAAACTTGGCAATGGAAAAATAAAGCCAGAGATGGGAGAGCTGGCTCAGTGATTAAGAGCACGTGTTGCTTAGGAGGACCCAGGTTTGCTTCCCAGCACCCCCAGGGCTGCTCACAGACACCCTAAGTTCAGTTCCAGGGATTTGATGCCCTCTTCTGACCTCCTTAGGCATGGAGTGTGCACGTGATGCACATCTATACATGCAGGCAGAATACTCATACATAGAAAAAGTTTAAAAATCAAAACACATTTTTAGAAAAAGAAATCCAGGGTACTGACATTTTGCTTCAAAGCCCCAGTTGGAACATCATGGTAGCTTCGGTGCAGTGCTTACTTGGGGAAGTTCTCACTGAGTGCAGAGGCAGGATTGCTTCAAAAAACAAAACAAAACACCTAATTATGCACTTCTAAGGCTGTACTATGTCCGGAACAGATTTTAAGGACTAGCATGTACAAAACTGTTCTTTTAAATTAATGCAGTAGTCGTCCATCTGTCTTGGACTGGACTGTTTCTCTTGTTGCTTAGAAATAAGATTCTCACCGTTTGCTAACCTGTCCTTGTTTCACACAGTTTTCTGCTCATAAGTAAAGGGAAATTGGTAGGAAACACCAGTGCACGCGTGTGTGTGTGTGTGTGTGTGTGTGTGTGTGTGTGTGTGTGTGTGTGTGTGTGTATATTAGTGCCTGGAGCCAGCCGCTAGGGGCTCAGTGCGGGACTACCTGCTGGCATCCTCAGGCCGTCTCTGTCCCTCCTCTTCTCAGTAGGTAAGCTCGGTGTCACAGGACGGAATTGCAGCGACGTCCGAGAACCACAGAGCTGGGTAGATAGAGCTGTCGGCTTAAGGGATCAAATCAAACAGTAGCTGGGCACATAAAAGGATGCATTTGGGTTTTGTAACCTCAAACGTGGAGAGCGTGTATTTTAAAATGTGTCTTACACGTTTTCCACCTTCCTAGCTGTTGTCCTAGGAAACTGTTCTTTTGTCAGGGCTCCTGGGGATCTGAAAATTGACAGAAAGAAGCCTGTGTCAGGCAGCCAAGCTTAAGTGAGACTAACTAGAAGGGTGTTAAACAAGAAGAGGTGAAGCAGTATGTTCCAGACAGCTGGTTTTGAACCTGGGACTGAAGTCCTCCACGTCTCTGTTGAGGTAGTGTGCACAGTAATTGCATTCAACGAATAGCCACTGTAACTGCCAGGCCCAAGATACGATAATGCTGCCAAAAGCTGGAGCAGGAAGTTGTCACGTTCGTGTCTCCTGTAGATGTTTTTGGATTTATATGGCAAAGAAAATAATGTTAGGCTAGGGAGATGGCTCAGTCACTGGTGTGCCTGCTGTGCAGATGTGAGGGGCTGAGTTCACATCTCTGCACACCCACGTGAGTCCTGCATGCTAAGCATCAGCTGAAAGCATAAGGCTAGGGTCTACTGCCGTCCAGTTTAATGCTCACACGATCAGAAAGCCCAGCCTGAAATGCTTTCCTACCCTCACAGAGAATCCTGTGGCACCCAGAGCCTCCTTGGAATCTCAGGCTAACTGGGTCCAAATAATAATGGAGTGCTGTTTGCAGTTTTAAGGAGCTTCTCATTTTACATGGGAATGAGCCGTGATGACAAGGAAATCAGAGGGTGTAATAGAATAAATGCAGCGACCCAAGCGCTCTGCAGTTGGGAGTACTTTAATAATTTTGGTGTTACAAGTTCTCAAGTGCGTTCTTGAAAACTGTACTGCACGTTCAATCATCAGATAGAGTAATATAATTAGGAGTACCTCCTCCAGTTGAAGTGCTTGTATGCAGCAAGGTGTGTCTGTATCAGCGCTTCAGGTGTGGCCGTATCGGGGATTAGGAAGATAGGAGATGGACACATGCGCACTGAGTCATTGTGTGTGCGTACATGTGTAGTGTACATGTTGTTGCAGCCACTTTTTACATCGACGGATGCTGTGTGAGGGCTGCAGTTTCTCATCTCTCTGCTGTCACGTTTTGTTTGTTTTTTATAGTAACCATCCTGAAAGGTTGGGAAGCAATAGCCTACTGTGGTTTGTTTTGAGACGGGGTCTTGCTGTGTAAACCAGGCTGGCCTGGACCTCACAGGGCTCAGCTTGCTCGCCTCCGAGTGCTGGGATTGAAGGTGTGCTCTACCTCACGCAGCTCCCACTGTGGTTTTGATTGGCATTTTATTGCAAACCAGTAATGTTGGAAATCTTTACATGGGCGTCACGGTCATATTTGTATGTCATCTTCGGAGAAATGCCCACTTTAGAGATGAGGTGGTTTTGCCTCTGGGCCACAGGTATCCCTTACGCATGCTCAGTATGCCTGTCAGGTACATGACTGACAGCTGGCTTACCCTACAGCCTGTGAGGAGAGACAGGTCTTCTGTGCGCTGCTGAGCTTCTTCACTTGCTCTGGTCCCAGTTGTCTGCTTCTGCTCTTACTGCTTGTACTTTTGTCATAGTCAAGAAATCCCTGCCTAGATGCAATGACGTAACGCTTCCCCTGTTTTCTCCAAATAATTTCTTGCATTCGGGGTTTAAATTTAAGTCTTTAGCCCATTTGTGTCTGGTTTTAAATTTAAAAATTACATTATATGTATTTACTGTGTATGAGCATGCACTCCAGGTACACATGCGCAGTACATGTGCAGAGGTCAGGAGACAGCTCACAGGGATAGGTACTCTGGTCCTGGGAATGGAGCTCAGATTGTTAGGCTTGGCAGCAGCAGGCGCCTTTCCCCATTAAGCCACCTCACCAACCCATGGGGCACATTATTTTGTAGGGTGTAAGAGAACCTGTTTTATTGTTTTTCATCTTCTCAGCACTGTTTATCGAGAAGCCTGTTCTTCCATATGTCTGGGCGTCCTCGTCAAGATCGATTGACTATACGTATAGGTTTATTTTCCCACTGGTTTTGTCTGTTTTAATGACATTGCCATACTGCTTTAATCACGATAGCTTTATAGTGTATTTGGAAGTCAGTAGCATTGTCCCTTCCTTGCTCCTCTTTCTCAAGAATGTTTGGACAGTTTCGGAGTCTTCATTGTCCCTTAAGAATTCGAGGATACGCTTTGCTAAAAATTTACCATCAGGATGTATTTTACGGTTTTAAAACATTACTTACTTTGTGAGTGTCCACTCATATCCTAGTTCACTGGTTTCTCCACCTTGCCAGCTTGAGGGCAGGAAGGACAGAGGCCCACCCTCATCCTGCGACAATGAAGGCTTTGTGAGTTGCTTTCAAACCCAGAGCAACTTCCTCCTTTAACAATAGCTCCTCCCTTAAGTGTTCCCTGTCCTCCCAGCTCTGTGCACTCTTCCTCGGCTCCAGAACAACTGCCCTCCTTTCTGGACTCCGGGAGGCCTCAGCCAGATTCTTAATATAAGCAAATGCTGCTGGCTACAAAGTTGGTAGCCATGCTGTTTTTTCTGGCATAAATGCAGGGGGTTTTGTGATGGCAGTTTTTGTTTTTGTTGTGTTTTGAGACAGGGTGTTATGGGGACCTCAGGCTAGCCTCAAATTGACTGTGTAGCCAAGGGTGACTATGAACCTTTGATCCTCCTGTCCCCACATCCCAAGAAGGGGGTCACAGGCTTGTGGCACCATGCCTGGTTTTATGTACTGGGGATGGAACCTTGGCAAGTGTTCTACCAGCTGAGTTGTGTCCCCAGCCCCTGGTTGCAGTTTTAAATATGCTAATAAATTATGTTTGCAAAGGAAACTGTTTTGTATTTGATTCTCCTGCCCCATGAACCATTCTGTGTCCAGTTAAAAAGAAGAAAAGCTTAATTGCCATATTTGAGGTTCTCCCTTCTTCTGCAGGCTGTCTTGCAAAAGAATGCTCCTGTCTCAGCTCAGGAAATGGGCAGGGTAAGTGGACGGGAAGAGTGAGTAGCAGCATCAGAAAAGTCCCCACATGCTATTACCCCTTGCAGCAAGTGCCGCACTGCTCAGGGCAGACATCACTGTCTTCTCCCAAGGGTGTCTTTCTCAGAAGCAGATTGACCATATTAGTACACTGTTGAATCATCCTTTTATTTTTTGAAAACCACAGTGTGTGTCCCAGACTATGTACTGGTTTCAAACACACTGAGTACTTCATAGAAATGAACAGCTCAGTCTGTTCATTAAGAGAAATAGCCTTAAAATACCTAAAAATCATTTTAACGATGGATAGTAAAGTCATCTTTCTTGATTCTTCTGTGAATTAACAGTCATATGTAAACAGTGTTATTCAAGGAAGATTTTATTTTAACAGTGCTCTGTCTGAACTGTATGTTATAAAAGAATAATTACTTTATTAGTTTTTACGTCACCTAGAGACTGTATGGAAAGATAAAAAGGAAGTGTGGTATAACAGTCACTGCAGTTAAGCCCCAGATTTTATTCAAGTGTTTCATTACATTTAAAAATACCCTAAACTATTCTGAAATTTAATCCTCCATGTCACAGTGTGTAAACCATCCACATATATTAATTTTGATAACTTTTATTTTAAAAATCCTCGGTGGTTTGTTTTTTCTTTGCCCAAAAGGTGCTTGCATGATAAAAGTCTGCAGTTGTAGTTAAGTGTCAGATGAAGACCTGAGTATTGCCTTCATTTGCTAGCTGCAGACTACTTTAGCTCACGTGATGAAGAAGGGCTGCATTATAGCTGTCTACCCAGCATTTGTACTAGGTACTTTTCATTGGGACCAAACACTTGGGAGAAGCAGTCTGAAGGGAGGAAGGGATTACTTTGTCTCACAGTTTGAAAGGGACAGTCCATCAAGAAGGCATGCAGGTGTTGATAGTGGATGGCTCTGGGACTCCTCAAATCTCCCAAGAGCTAGTGCACAAGCAAGGTGGATCCCACCTTTTAAAGGTTCCACAGTTTTTCAGAACAGCTCTATCAAGTATTCATTCAGCATTCAACATATGAGCCTATAGGGTGACCTTTCACATCCAAATTATAACCTTTACATGGCAGTTTGAGTGGTGTTTAACATAGTTTGGCTGCATATCAGTTCTTGTTTTCCTGAATCATGACTATATACCTGCCACAGAGTGATGGACCTACAGTTCCCTCAGAGCCTGTTTGAAGCTGGTGAGGCCCCTAGTCAGAGGATGCAAACAAAGACCGCACCCTGGAGCTCCAGACAGTCAGCCCAGGAGGTCCAACACCAGAAGGTCAGTGGCTTGTGGAGAGGAGTCCTAGATGAGGCATTTAGAACGGATGAAAGTTAGGGACCAGCACTACAACCGACTCCGCCTCTCTGTGGTTTAGATGAGAAGCCTTTATTGCAAAAAGGTAAGGAGTCCGCTCCTTACAGCACAGAGAAAAGGTGGACGTTCTGTTGCTCTTCTGGGAAGCATGGTGTGCATGCCCTGGGGCATCAAGCATGGAGAAATGAGGCTGGACCTGAGGTAGTTCATGTTTCCTTTCTCCCCACGTCATAACAATTGTGGTACTGATATCAGCTCTGCAACTAAAAGCATGGCTCGAGATGCTAGACTCCGTGTCTCACACTAGTTACATGCTAAAAGCGTGGCTCGAGATGCTAAACCCCATGTCTCATACTACCTACATACCAAAAGCTTGGCTCAAGATGCTCAAACTCCAGTCTCACACTAATGACATGGCAGGCAGCCGACTTAGCTTTTCATGTGTTCATCTGTAAAACAAATCATGTTAGTGTCTACTTTATGGGACTACTGAGAGGATCAAGGGAGTTAATGGTGTGTACAATGTATAAAACATGCGTTGGCACATGATAAGCACTCAGTGTGTGATAGCTGCTATTACTGTAATTTAATCCTACTTAATAATTAACAACCCTATGAAATGGATTTGAAGTAGGTTTTTATTGTTGGGTTTTTTGTTTTATTTTGATTTTTTTTTTTAACTTTCATCTGGTCGTAACCCCTCAGGGAGAACAGATTACAGGGTGATGGATTGAAGAATGACTTACAAGATACCTTTAGGATTGGTGTTTAGCATAGTGTAAACACATCTTGGTTTATGGATTAGTTACCAAGATAAGAAGGATGGCATAGTTCCAATTCAAATTAAATCTACATGTGATCCACCCACTTGGTTTCAAGCATAATTTCTAACCTTTCCTAGTAGATCATTTTCTTTCCAAGAAAGGATTGGGTTTTACAGCATGGAAAGTACATGCCACACACATGTAGTTATATACGTGTGATGAGCTCATGCCACACATATGTAGTCACATGCGTGTGATGAGCTCTTGTCCTTTTATTCTGCTCTGTTTCGTTTTTCTTAAAGTGCTGCATGCATGGTTTGAAAACTCTACAGATACAGACCAGCTTCACAGGAACCCAAAGGAGCGGGGATTTTAGTAAAATACAGCTGCCTTCATTCTCCTGAGCTCCCCTGCTGGCAGAACTGGAAAGCTGCTGCTCAACACTCACACACTTTTATTTTTTATTTTAATTATATAAAACAACTTTTAAAACTAAATGTCTTTTATCATATTCTTCCATTCCCCCAAGTCCTTCCAGCTCCTCTCCCCCCAACTCACCCAACTTTAAAGTCTTTCTCAAAAAAACAAACAAAAATACAGTAATTCCCCCCCTCCAAAAAAGCCACCTAAAAGGAGAAAGAGGCAAGGGGAAAAAAAAAAGCAAAAACAAAACACCAAATTGTAACCAATGAAAACACAAAACTGTAGAGTCCATTATATATTGGTCAACTAATGACACACTTTTAAATGTTACACTTTTTGGCTTTTCGAGACAGGGTTTCTCTGTGTAGCTTTGCGCCTTTCCTGGATCTCGCTCTGTAGACCAGGCTGGCCTCGAACTCACAGAGATCCGCCTGCCTCTGCCTCCCGAGTGCTGGGATTAAAGGCGTGCGCCACCACCGCCCGGCTAAATGTTACACTTTTAAATGTCACCAGTTAATTTTGTAAAGTCAGAAGTTCATGTGATCACTTTTTTTTTTTTTTTGGTTTTTCGAGACAGGGTTTCTCTGTGTAGCTTTGCACCTTTCCTGGAACTCGCTTTGGAGACCAGGCTGGCCTCGAACTCACAGAGATCCGCCTGGCTCTGCCTCCCGAGTGCTGGGATTAAAGGCGTGCGCCACCACCGCCCGGCTTCATGTGATCACTTTTTAAAAGACCTTTTAATATTACTCTAGTTCAACTCACCTTTGGCAAATGTATAACATTAAAATGGATAAGAATGATAAGATTATGTCCATTAATCATCTTCATAAGTAATTTAAAATTAACGATGCTAATAATAAGCGATCTTTCAGATTATAGTCCCTAGTTCCCTCTGCCAGAGTCTTTTATCAGAGGACAGAGATCTGGAGAGTGAGTTGCTCTGCTGAGCTGCCGAGGCTTTGGCCTGCGCCTGTTGAACCAGCCCCATGCCTGTGGGAAGTCCACTGCTTTCATACTTGGACACCACAAGGCTGACCACACCGCATGACACCATTCTGAACCCTGCCCCTGTGCTCTCACCATCTGAGTCACCAGCCAGACCCAATGCTGCTTCTCTGGAAGACTGACAACCAGCTTCTTACCAAGCTTACCACACAAAAGCCTTCCCAGATTGCTTTGCACACGTCTAAGTCACACACGTGGCCACTCAGCATATCACCTGCCTTTGGTCAGTCCTTCAGCAGTCTGGTTCTCCTGGTACAGGGTGCATGTCCAGCACAACACCTTTCTGCTGGACTTGGAGGAATGTGGTCACTATCCCTCTCTTCCTGATGACCATTCCAAGTCTTTTCAATTCCATATATATGAAGTAGGTACACATATTTCATCTGCATCTCAAGTGTCTTTCTCTTCTAAGAACAGTCATCAGTCACACTACTGTGTGGTCAACTCAGGAAGTTTCCCAGCCTTAGTGCTTACACCTTCTTACATTTGCATATAGACAAATGAAGGTCTTTCTTAGCATGTGTCTCCACCAACTGCCAGCATTGCTGCACAGATGCACACCTGCTCTTCACAACTCTTCACATAGCATTATGCACACATTCTGAGTGAGGTCGGCTCTGTGGAATAGCCTGGATCCCCGACAGTCATTAGAAGTGCTGTTCCTAAGGGAAGATGAACTCCAGTCTTAAGCCAATAGGTAAAAGTAATCTTTTTTTTAATTGGTTATTAGTCCCTTATTGAGCTTAATTTATGAGTTAGTTCATCATAGGCATGTGTGTGTAGGAGAAAGTACACTACGTAGTGGGGTTCTGAACTAACTGACGTTTCAGGTAGCCACCAAGGGTCTCGATGTATCCCGTGATTAAAGGCAGACTTTTAAAATGCTGTTAACTGCACTAGAATGCTCATTATTTTCAGGACAAAACTAAAAATCGGAATCATAGGAAAATAGATAGTTGCTGAAAATAATGATTTAAGCATGAATTTGAAAATGCCATCTCATTTAAATACCCATGTATATTTTTGATACAGGAATATCAAGTTCCTGATTTTATTTAGGAGTAGTGTGTTTATTCGAAAGCACAGTTGATTATGGAGCCCTGGACTTTCCCAATCCAAGCTGGTGGCCCTGGATGGACTTGGACATCCATCTCCCCTCACTCTGGACGTTTTTCTGCACATACACTTGACATATAGCAGCTTTGTCAGGTGAGACACCTCTTTATAAAACCAGAAAACAGCACCCAGAAGACAAGGGAGGACTTCCATGTTTCCGTGTTGGCAGAAGCTTAGGAAAACCGACTCCCAGAGGCGGCGTTTCGATCTTTGCTCTGTAGCCTGACGTGGTATTAAGATCTTTTGGTTAATGATTGCCTAATGTGAAGTTCCCTTTTCTGTTTGAGTCTCAGATGTGTGGGCATGAGCTTGCTGCTTGTAATATAATGGTCTCACACTACAACCATGTACCAGTTAAGAACAGCAACACATCCTGAAAAAAGATGTCAGGTGATTTCATCATTGTGGGGGTGACAGGGTATGCTTTGCAAAAAAAGACAGTTCTGGCATCCCTGGGCAATAATATCTTGTGGGTCTGTTTTTGTGTAAGGGCCTGTCCTTGGCAGAAAGGCCGTTACATAGTGCAGGGCTTAATAGACTAACACACCAGCTAATAAAAGTTAAGTATATACACATCTGAGTTGAAATGTAACGGGCTCTCATACATCAAGATGGTGTTCATTTTGAAACATGTCTTGACAAAAGTTTGTGTTTCTAAAATGACCTTAAACTTGTGATAAGGGTAAGGCTGATTAGTGGTGCAGGTAGAGGTGGTAATTTTACTGTTTGGGTCTACACCTGTTGGAGGTGTGACAGAACTCTGAAGCTCAATGTAGTAGATAGGATGTTTATCTGAGATTTAACCTGACGTAGCTTTAAAAAAAACTTAGGCATGCTTCACTCTTGAGACATAAAGGCATACATAGAATACATTGATAAAATGTAAAGAAGTATCTACAGGGTTTGGCTGTGCCACCTGAGGGATATGTTTTAACAGGAATAAATCAGATGGGCTTGTGTCTTCCGATATACTGCATCGACCAAGGGTACTCTGCTGCTGTTTATAATATGCAGTGGGCCTTCACCTGAGATGTTCTTTTTTGGGGGAATGAAAGGGATTTCAGTGGTAACATGAAGTAGAGATTCTCCGTTCTGATACAGCCAGATTTAACTATTAGGCAAAATACGGGCAACACCAAACAAAGCTAGTGTAGGAGAATGACTGATGATGCTTGACTGAGGAGCACACTCCTGGGCTCCACAGAGGCAGTCTCGACTCAGGTGGTCCAAAACCACGTTGAAACGTTGGTCTAAAAGGATCAGGTACACAGTTGTTCCGTCGGTCTTCGTTGTTCATCTCTGTGGGCCACCAGGGAAACCAAAAGTTAACATTCCTTTCTTTTTTGTACCACTCTTTGGCAGAATTTGCCACCTCCTTGGGGCCCCCAAACCGTAGCCCTGCCCCCTTAGCCTAAGAGTGTGCATATACCTTGCGTGTTCCTACATCTGATTGCCAGGCAGTCACATAAAGAGAGCAAGCTCTGGCATTGCTGTGGGACTCGTTGGTAAATTGCCGGTGTCAACATCATAATTCTTTTTTGCCTGGTGGAGGAGCCAGATCTCCTGTGGTCGGCTGTGGTTTCCTCTGGGCTGGGGAGAGTGCTGCAGAACAACGATCCCTGTCTAGTTTTGACTCTCCTGGGGTGTAGTGCATCCTGCGTCTTCTCCTGAGATGGGCTGTGAGAGGCTTACCCGAAGGCTGGCAAATCAGACTTACACACGCCTTGGCCTCCCGTAGCCAATGGCTTGCTCAGACCACATATATTACCCTGTGTGGTTTCATTCATCAAGGGGATCCCCATCTTCAGCAGAACGCGGCTCCTCCAGAAAAGCGAGTGCACACATCTTGCCCCCAGGAGAACTCAAGGTGTCCCTGGTAAGTGGAAAGGGGAGAAATCCTCCCCTAGTTTTCTCTGGGTGGATTTGGGGTTTTAGGGAAATGAGTCTTTTTGGAAGAGCTCAGAGCTGCTTTTCTTGTTTTTCTACCCAACTGCTGTTCCCCCTCTTCACGTGTAATCCACGCTCTTCGAGTTGTGCTTTCAGTTTCAAAGTTTAAATGACAGGATTCCTCTTTCTGTTCTGCACCTGAAACTTTTTTAACTAGCTAGTCACAGTTGCTGAGTTACTAATTACGCCTCGGTTCCCCGGTTCTAAACCAGAGGCCCACATTTTTAGGACGTGCTTTCACAGGTAGGCAGAGGAGCACTCTCCCTGCCCTTGATTTATGGAACAGTGGTGGCAACGTGTCAGTCAGGCGTTCCCGTCTCAGAGGCCAGTCTCGGAAAGAAGACTGCTGGATCTGCTGAAGCCAAGATCTCTCCTCCCCATCTGTTGATCGGTTTTCTGTCGGCCAAACCAGCTCTTCTCTGGTCTCTAGGCGTGTGGTTTGGTGTGTACATTCAGAGCAGTGGCATTTTTCTAGAAGTGACTAAGGCTTCTTGGATGAATTCTGTCTTTGAAAGAGGTGGTTGGATTGCATCAGAGAAGCATTTACAGTAAATGGCTCCCCCTTCCTGTGCTGACCACATGTGAAAGAATGCTTTAATTCTTGTTTTGAGGAAGCGAGAGCCCCATAGCTCTGTGAAAACTCCCTAGTCTCATTAATTAGCCAGATTTGAATCTTAAAAATTTTTTCAAATTGGAATCACTTTGTGCTCTCTAAATAAAGGTCACAGGGAGACAGAGAGCTTCCCACTCCGAGCTCTCTTTGGAGCGACTGATGGTTCTGAGTTCAGAAAGAGGAAATGGCGCTGAATATAGATACAGCAAATGACATAAATCTAAACTAACTTCGTCATGGCCATTTGGGTATTAAGTTAATCTGTTTCTTAGATATGTTGATGGCTTGGACTTTGGGGTACCAGTTCTCAGTGTGATCCCATAGGTCTTGGCCAGGGTTCTCAGGAAGTGGGACTTCCCCCTAGTGGAAATATGTGAGGGTGTTTTGGTTATACTATAAGGGTATTTTAAGGGGTGAGCCCCAGACAGGAAAAACTTGCCCAGTCGCCCACATGACTACCTCAAGTGTTCATGCAGTGAAAAGTTAGTTTATAATTTTCTGAGACTAGACTTCAGTTTTTTCATAATTTTGCATTTTCATACAGAGTATATCCATTCTTTTTGTTGTCTAGCAATGGCTCGCCCTTTTATCTGAATACTTCTTTAAAAAATTTAAAATTACATTTATTTGTATGCCCACGTGCTTTGGTGCATGTGTGCTCTGCGTGTATGGAGGTCAGAGGGCAATGTGCAGGAGTTGGGTCTTGGTTCCCACCTAACGCCGAGGTCTTGCATGGAACTCCAGCCTTACTGCTGCCCTCATGCTGGTCCCATCTGCCTTCTTAAATCCCAGGAAGTTACAAGTCTGTGGTACAGTTTAATCAAACCTGGAAGTTCTTTATGTATTGATATCTGAATATTTTGATTATAC